GAGTAATCTGAGAAGATAAAAAATAAGAATAAATTTGTTTATATTTCTAAATTAATCAAGAAAAAAAAAGAAATTTTCCTTGATTTCATTATCTGAAAAGGATTCTTTCTTTCTTTCTTTCTTGTATTGATCTGTATAAGAAGAAAAACAATATCAAGAAAGATGTTACAAAGACAGATCAAAAGGAGTATGTCAAAAAGCATGAGGGCTTATACAACAAAGATGTCAAACATACGCCTAATACATATAAAAAACAAACAACATAGTAGTATCATATAGAATCACATTAAATTTAAGTGCACTTTAAGATTCCGTTTAAAGATTTTGATATTAGAAGCAGAAGTAACAGAAAAGGGTAATTTGTTCCAGTCAGAGACTGCTGAAAAGAAATATGAATATTTAACATTGGTTAAAGCAGTGAAAGGAACCATTACATGAAAAGGGGTTAAATTAGCATGTAGTCTATCAGATCTTCGCGAAACAGATGGAACTATAAGTTCATCAGGATTGAGGGTACATAACCGATAGTAGATACAATAGAAATTCACTAATCGAAAGTAAAGTCGACGATTTTCCAGATTAGGAAGATCTAACTCTTTAACAAGATTATCACTGTTAACCGTGTAGTCGAACTGACGAGTAATAATTCGTGAAGCAAGCTTCTGAATTGAGTCTAGTAGTTTCGTGTGAATCATGAATTTAGTATCAAAGCTCGAACATCCATAATCAAGTTTGACAAGAACACAAGTTAAATAGAGATGACGCCGAATGACAACCGGAGCTTTCGAGAACGTTCTATTTATTGCCCCTAGCATACGTCTACAGATTAACGCTGTTCGTTCAATGTGAGGCTACCAGCTCAGGGTGTGGGTGTGGGTATGTGGCTGTGGGTGTGGGTGTGACTGTGGGTGTGGTTGTGACCCTTCTTTCAACTCACGCACCCCCACATCCACTTCCACACATATACACCCGTACCCCATACTCACACCCACTTCCATACCCACACACGTCACACCCACACCCCACACCCACACGTCACACCCACACCCC